CCCAGCCTCAGGTCTCTCCGTTAGAGATGCGATGTAGTCTTCGGGGGACCCAGGACAGACCGGCTTGGTGCCCGAGGACCCGGGACGCGGAGCGGTCGGGCCCCCGCCTCATCCCACCCGCCTCTGAATGCGGTCCTCGACCTCCCCCCAGCTGCGGCCCCCAGGTCCCTCTGCCCGACCCATTGCCACACTTCCCACCGCCTGGCCCCCTGGGCAGCGGAGGGAGGAGGGCGCCCCGGCTCCCGACGGGCGCAGCCCCGGGGAGTCTTCCCAAGTGTCGCGCGTCGAGGCCGAGCGCCTCTCCAGGGCCGACCCAGGCAGCCGACCTTCCGAGCGCAGAGCCGGCGACCCCTAGGGCGACCCCCACCCCAGCCCCGCCGTAAAACCCACAGCGTTTCCACCCAAGTGCTGTAAAACCGACCCCAGAGGCACGTGTTCCCTACCGTAGTAGACCCTGAAAGAGCCCACCCCCAACTTTTGTTGTGTTGAAGGTATTTGCTTTCGATCTAGACTTTGGTTATCCGTATTCAAATTCATATTAAAAATGTTTTTTCCTTAGTCTGGTAAAACTGATGTTTCAGGAAGATGCAACATGTTTATCTTAGAAAACTGGCCTGGATTCCTAGCGTGGACAGAGTGTGACTAAAACGTGTTGGAGGGCTTGCTTAGAGAGCGCCGGCCAGGTAGGGGTAACTTAATTTTTCACCTTGATGAAATGTTGGCGTTCTTACACTGTCACGGTTAGAACCTCTGACAGTAGCTTGTTTCAAGGTTTATCTAGTCAAGTTCAGGTCCTTTGACAGTTCTCTTAAGAATGTGACCTCCCACCAATCCAGTTTGAGAGCTTGGCCCTCACTTAAGGCTTTTTCTGGAAAGGTAGAAACGCAGAAGTTGACTGACTTCCAAACTTCTCTTTTGCTCTTTGCAGTGGATCCCCCAGCCCAGGCCTACCACCAGGGAAATAAAACTGGTTTGCCCATCCTCTGGCCCCTGGCACCCTCAACTAGTCCCCAGAGGCGTCTTCAGCCTTTTTCAGCCCCAGACCTGCCTGATTTCCCAGTTCCCAGCAACCCCTCCAGCCCTTTGCTCCTTTGCCCCAGGCCGAACTCCTCCTTTATGAACATATCTTTCTACCCCTTTATTAGTCCCCTTCCCTCAGCCTTCCAAATTCCCTCTACTTTTCTTGAGTGCCCTCCCCAGATGTCCTCTACCAGCAGGATTCCAGTGTCTCCTCTTTGGACCCTGCTAACCTTTGGGTAACTCTCTGCCTCCTCCCTATGTCTGTCCTACCTGGCTCCCCTCCCTTAGTTTCTGAGCCCTTTTCTCAGTTTTCCTAGAGGCCAGGCTTTCCCAAGGTCCCCACCAGGCTTTTCAAATGACTCCTCAGAAGACTGAAAACCAGTTAACTTTTTTGTAACATAGCTGTGGGGAGGGGAAGTTTGGAGCAGAAGCTCAATAGTCAAGGCCTGAAAAATAAAGATAAGAGGGTGTAGCCCTCCAGGAAACAAAGAAGATGGATGGAGCAGGGGAAACTGGGCCTCAGACAACTTTAGAATGATGCCACCAGTGTAGGAAGATGCACACACACACTCACTCTGCCTAGCTTGGACCAGGAGGTCATGATCACCGGCCTTCTGACCATCCCCCACCACCCTGGGCTGGCACGGCCACACCCACAGTGCCTCAAGCTGCCTGTGTAGCCCTGACTCACTTCCTCTGTATGGGCTGCTGAGGTGTCTAGGAGGCAGAGGACACTAACAGGCCTTCAGCCTGTGATTTAGGTACCGGGGCAGCCTTCGGGGATGTGCAAAGACAAGGACCCAGCTGTGGAAAGTGAGTCTTGGTCTTCCCAGGTCAGGCTGGCTCGTGCAACACAGAAGCCTGTTTGGGTAAAAGAGTAGAGCTTGGCTAGTACAAAAGCAGAGGGACTGAGGTGCCAGGAATTATGAGGAGAAAAAGTTTCATAACAAGAGGAAATATAGATGGGGGGGTTCTATATATTCTAAAATCATGCAATGCAGAGTATTTGCAGAAAAGCAATATGAACTTAGAGTTCAACAAGTTTTCATGAGTCAACAGCTGAGTCTCCATTTACTACTGCTTGTCCTCCTGTATTCCACTAAGAGGAACCCCAAGTCAGCCACGCCCTCCTCTGAGTGACAAGGAAAACATTAAGAAGTTAGGAGACCTGGATTCTGGCTTCAACACCATGGCCTTTGGAAGTCACTCAGCCTCCTTGAGTCAGTAACAAGAGGGTGGTAGACCAGGTCATCCCTAAGCTCTCCTCCAACTCAGAACTTCTAAAATTTAGAGCATAGGGGTGGAAGGTGATTTAGTAAATCTGAAAACAACCTCAGTCTGGCCCTAGAATTGAACAAAACAAAATCCAGGGACAAAAGGAGTGAGATTCCACCAGTTTCAGTGGAGGCTTTGTAAAGGCATCAAACACAATCCTCACACTCCTAGACAACCAGGACTACTCTTCTGCCTTCTCCAAATTCAGGATTCAGCCTTGCAGTTCAGCCAGCAGTCCCTTGCAGAGGTTTGGGCTAGGGAAACAAGAGCCCTCTCTCTCCTTTCATTTCCCCCTGAGCCTGCTTGGAACATGTGCCCAAGAAGACACTCTAACAGGTGCAGAAAGCCAGAGGCAGGGAACCCTGGCTGTGGAGCCACTGTACTGAAGTAACCCAGCCTAGAAAGTCATCGTGTGTCCTGAGGTCTGTCTCAGTGGGGTCCCTTGAGTAGAGGTCTACCTGCGGCTTTTCCCCTGGCCCTGCCTGCCCACCAAGCCCACTGGGAACCTCAGGAAATCGCGCTTGCCAGCAAGTAGGCCCCTTGATATCTGCGGGTGGAGCCAGAGTCTGGGAGACCTCAAGTGGCCACCAGGGGGCTCGGGGCCCTTTCTCAGTGTTTTCTGATGCTCTCTTGTGGCCAGGTTGGGAATTGGCAAGAACAAAGTTACAGAAGAGAGCCAAGATTGGAATTCTTAAGGAGGCACTAATAATAGTTATCAGTATAAAATAACATTATAACAATACTTATTATAACATAGTGGTTACCATTTTGACATGTGTACTTACCATTTCTATACCCAGCCACTCTTCTAAAGTGCTTTACATGTATTGATTTATTTAATTCTCACAATAGCCTATAATATGAACACTGTTACTATCCCCATTTTGACAAGGAGGAAACTGAGCACAGAAAGGTTGAGGTAGTTGCGAACGTCACACAGCAGACCAGAATTCTGAGTCTAAGGAGTCTGGCTCCAGCACTTTTGCTTTTAATCACTGTACTGAATCTGAGTCCCTTTTTTCAGGTTGCCAGGTAAAATGCAGGAAAGCCAGTGAGGACCTTCCCAGGATGGGAGCATGGTAGAGGAGAGCAGACCACTCTCCGGCCTCTGCCCAGCCCCCACCCAACCTGTCTAGGGAGGCAGAAAGGAGACCGCTCCCAGGCCCTAGGGAGCTGGCTGTGAGGTCTGAATAATCACCTCCTCAGGGGCCCCTCGAGGCTCCCCAAGACTGTTCACCTGCTGTTCTCTGCACTGACAGCCTCCAGCCCAGCTGCTGGGTTTGTATCACCCGCAGCTAAACAGCACTAGCAGCCAAAAGGCAGCAGAAGGAGTCCGAGACACAGGGACCCAGGGAGCCTCCTTCATCTCCCTGTTGCTGCCTTTGGGGAGCGTGGTGCTTCTGTCTGCAGGGAACACCCTTGCGTTTTTCTCTCTTGGCCGCGGATCAGCTCCCACTTCCGGAATACCTGTGCCCTTCCTTCCCCAAAGGTATCACCCTCCCCACCCTACCACTCTTTTCCACCCACTTCCACTCTAATAAAGCAATAGTCAAGGGAGTTCCTGGGCCAGGACCCCCTCCGGGGTACAGGCTGGGGTGCCCTGCTGGTATGCGCCCCAACAGGTTTTTTTCTATCAGCCTTGAAATCACCCTGGAGCCTGTGTGACCTGCCCCCTAGGGAGCTAGAGTCAGAGGCAGTGCCAAGTCAGAAGCTGGACTGAGAGACCGGACTTCTGTGGTCCCACCTGGCCCCACAGAGAAAGCAACGCACAAAGCCTCCAGTGTCCGGGCCGAGCTGCTGCGAGGCCGGTGGAGTTCCCTTGCGTGGGTTGAGGCCCATTTCCTGGGAGGAGAGATGCTCAGTAGGTAGGGAGGTGTTTGCCTGTGGGACCCAGTACAGCCTGGTCCTCTCCCACATTTGGGAGGGGCCAGAGCTGGAGACAACAGCTGGGCTGGTCTGCTGGCGGGGTCATCTGACTGGCGGTTCAGCTTGAGCCGCACACACACCCTCTCCTGCAGCAGGCCACGCAGGAGCTGGTATCCACACGAGGCACACTGCCAGGCTTCGACGGCACCCGCTTCACCCCCAGCAGTTCTGGGTGAGCACTGGACCTGGGCTCTCATGCTGAGGGGATGGGGTGGGGGTTACTTGTTGATCACTTGGGGGAGGGAGAAAGGAGTTTTTCTTTTCTAACATGAGTGCCTGCTCCCTTCTTTAGGTACCCATGTACCCACAAGAACACTTACGCACGTCAGCTAAGAGAGTGCACCTGCTGACCTAAAGCTCCCAGCCAGAGCCTCAGAGGGTGCGAGGCAGACAGCGGAAGACAGCTCTGCAGGCGGGTGGCAGGGGCTTCCTTGTAGCTGGGACTGCAGGTGCTCCCACCCACATACTTAATCCTGCCACCTCGCCTCACGTCCCCACGCTGCCCCAGGATCACCCAGCCAGGCCACGGGCGGAAGGGACGCAGACCTCAGAAGGGGATCATCCACCTCAGACCAAGGCCTGGGGAAACTTGTGACCAGCCCTAGAGTCAGGGGGGGTTGTATGGTGCTGGTTTTAGCAGATCCCTGGTCAAACCTTGCTTCCTGAAGGAGGGTGAGCGGTGGGGAAGGTGGGGGCTCCCCCCTTACCCTCCACTTGGGCTCCCAAACCTGCCAAGCAGGTTGTTCCTTTTTCTGCAACAAGGGCAAAGGGAGGCCTGGGGGTCATAGAGAGACCCAGAGGGGCTGGGACGGTGCCTTGAGTTGGCTTCTGTTCCCCTCCCTCCGGGGCAGCCAGTCACATCATGTCTGTGAGCAGCCAGAAGACGGGACCATCCCTGACTCAGGAGATCCTCAGCCACCTCGGCCTTACCAACAAGGTAGGGGCTACTGGGATTGTAGGAATCTTTTGTTGTTGTTGTTGTTTTAATTATTATAGCTACCCAGGGACTGTGGAAGGGCCAGGGAACAGGAAAGCAAGAGCCTGCCCTGAGGCTATGCCGAAGACCTGGCTGGGACACTGGGGGAGGGGTGTGAGCAGACAACTGGTACCCGCCTCCCACCTTGCTTTTACAGACTGCAGCTTGGGGCACCCTGGGCACCCTCAGGACCTTCCTGAGCTTCAGTGTGGACAAGGATGTGCAGAGGCTGCTGAGGGCCATTGCAGGCCGAGGTGAGCCCCTTTCTCTCTGCACTTGGGAATCTGCCTTTTCAAAGCCTGTCTGTAGACCCAGAAGGAGCCAGGAAGGAGGAGCTGGCGATACTCAGTAGATGTTTGTGGAATGCCTTAATTCCTGTATATCAAGTACCACGGTAGGTATGTCGTCCCCATTCTCACAACGCCTCTGTGAGGCAAGACTTGCTATTTCCATTTTACAGATGAGGAAACTGGGGCTCAGGGAGCTAATGAGGCTTGTGCAAGATCACACAGCTCGTGGTGGCAGAGCTGGGACTCTGATCCAAGACTGTGATCCCAAAAAGCTACTTCCCCCACCACCCTAGGCCACCTTTACCTAAATTTGAGTCAGACTTGATGCCATCTTGGCATCTTATTTGCATCTTCTCTGAGAGCAAATGGAAGTGTGGGTGACGCAGCCTTTTCTAGAACTTATCATTGCCTTTTCCGGAGGCTTCAGCTCCATGGAATAAGGGTGTCCTGACCCTGTGAAGACCCTACGTGGGCTGTGCCCAGCTCACAGCCCAGCACTCCTCTTGGTTCAGGTGTGGACCACAATGCCATCGTGGACGTGCTCACCAACCGGAGCAGAGAGCAAAGGCAGCTCATCTCTCGAGCTTTCCAGGAACGCACCCAGCAGGTGAGACCACTCTGACAGCCCCAGAGCAGTGGGCTGGAAGCCTTGGGCCACAGCAGTAGCAGTGGAGGCCAGCTCCTGCTCCCTGGCTAACCCTGGTGGAGCAGGGGGAAGCCTGGTGCTCAGGCCTGAGATGAAATCCATCCAAATATCCCCAAACCTTCCCACACATCTGGGACCTGTTCCTCTGCCATGGGGACCATTTCTTGTAGGATCTGCTGAAGTCCCTGCAGGCTGCACTCTCTGGCAACCTTGAGAGGATTGTGGTGGCTCTGCTGCAGCCTGCAGCCCATTTCGATGCCTGGGAATTGAAGACAGCCTTGAAGGTACCAGGAGAAGAGGTTTACCAGGGTGCCTGGGCGCGAGGACATGGTTGAGGGAAGGAGAGGGTTGACTGCCTTGCCTTTGCCCGCTCCAGAGGAGCGGACATGGCAGAAGCCCCCTTTAAGCAGCCTGTGCTGACCCGTAGAAGGACGAATAGTCAGCGTCTGCTCTCTGCTGTTCTAGTGACATGGCTCAGTCTCAGAGTGCCCCCCTGCCAATTTCTTGTAGGACTCAGGTTCTCCTGAGGATGTGGCCGTGGAAATTCTTGCCACCCGAACCCCGCCCCAGCTAAAAGAGTGCCTGGCAGTCTACAAGCACAGTAAGAGCGGGGAGGGGGCTCAAAGAACTGGAGAGGGATCTGCAGGACAGGTCTCTCCTCTCCTGCACTCCCTGCAGGCCCTCTGGAAGCCTGTCTGGTTCTATTCCCTTGGGGTCTCTCCTCCACCCACCCCTCTGCCAGGGAGAGAGTCAGATGTCATCATTAAAGAAAGAGAAGCAATGATTACCCATCTTAGTCCGGGGCTCCAGGGCGGACTCCAAGGTAATGATAACGTTGAGCCCTGTGACAGTCCCAAGGGCACCCATGTCATCTTCCCAGCCCCTTGCTGATTCTACCATCACAGCACATCCCAGCTGAGTGGAGCCTTGCGGCAGCCAGGGGGAAAGGTGGGGCCTGCTCTCTAAGTCACAGGTGTCAGTTCTCAGACCCCTGGCTGCTGGCCCTGCTCGACTGCCTCTTGCCTCACCTGCTAACTCGTAACCAGCTTCTTCTCATCCTCAGCCTGACACACCCCCTCTTGGTCTTGCTTTCCCCAGGGTTCCTTTGATGTCCAGTCTCAGCCTGTCTTCGTCACCTTTCTCCTACCTCTCTCCCTTCTGGCTCCTGTTTTTCCCTTTTCCCTTCCTCTTCTCTCTTTCCCACTCTTTCCCTTCTTCACTTTCCACCTGCCACATTACTCTTCCTTGCCTCCCAGGAGGGGGGGCCAGGCTCTAGCCATCCTGACTCAGAATACGGGTTTCCCTATCCTCTCTTCACTGTCTGACCACCACTCAAATAACAGGTGCCTCCTCCCTCCTGCCTCCAGCAGGTCAGCATCTGGAGATGAGGCCATTCCACAGTGCGTGATCCCGCAGCACATGGGTTACTCACAGTTTAGGGATGTTTTCGGGGTGACCACAGGGGTGCTTCTGCCTTACATCCTGGGAACTAGGAACCATCAAGCAGGGAATGGCAGGATTGACAGAGCACAGGCATTTGGCAGGCCCTGAAGTTGTCCTCATTGGGAAAAACCAGGAGGATTCAGAGAACTCCTTACCCCACTCCAGATTTCCAGGTGGAGGCCAAGGAGGACATCAAATCTAAGACCAGTGGCTTCTTTCGGGATCTGCTCCTGGCCCTGGCCAAGGTGTGGAGGGCTGGCCTGTGGGGGATGGGAGTTACCCCACCGGGGAAGGAGGTGGGCTAGAGTGGGGAGCATTGCATGGTATAGTGAACAGGAAAGGGCTTTGGGGGCGACCAGGGTTCGGTTTGTAGACCTGGAGATAAAGAGCTGCCCCTCAAAGAGCCTTCCTGAGAGAGCTTCTCATCCTAGGGGTGCCGGGAGAGCTACTCGGGGGTCACTGACTATAACCTGGCCGAACAGGACGTCCAGGTGAGCGGGTGCTGGGGAGTTTGCACAGCCTTGCACACGAGACACCATCCCCTAGAGCCAGTGACCCGTGTACCCACTTGTCCTGCAAAACGGTCCTTGCCTGGGGGTAGGAGTCCTCAGTGACATGAGTGGGGCATGGGGTGTCAGATAGTGTCACGACTGAAGGCTTTTCTCGCAGCTAGCCTCTGACTCCAGAACTCGCAGATTCTCCTTTCATGGGCATTTGGGTGGACCCTCCCTTGGGGATTATTGACTTCCTTGAGTGCCAGGATTTTCCCAAACTGGGGAATGAAGCTGTGAGGGCAGAGTCCTCTCACAGCTCTGTCCTTTAAAAAATAAAATCATAAATAGACAAATAAATGCAGCTAATTTACAGGTTAAAATAAACTTTTCCGCCTTGATGGGTTCTGGGAACCCCATAACCATGGCCACCCCAGGCTCTAACCAGTGAACCTGATCTGCTCCGCCCTCCCAGGCGCTAATGCGGCCTGCGGGACGCAGCACCGAGAGCACGTGGGTCCTTGTCTTCACACAGCGAAATCCTGAACACCTCGTCCGAGGTATGCGTGAGCCTTCCTGCCTTCCCAGCTTGCTTTTGGCTGAGGAAGGGCTGTCTTTCTCAGTGGTAGTGAACCCCGCCCCTTCCTTCATCTTTCTAACTCCTTCCCACGTGCACCACAGTGCTGGACCAGTACCAGCGGTACACGGGGCATGGGTTTGAGAAGACTGTCCGGGACCGTCTCCACGGAGCTGCCCAGGTGGCTCTGCTCAGCCTAGGTAAGGGCCTGCTCAGGACCTGGGGGGTAGGCATCTCTCACGGAATGGGAGCTCCCTCCCTCCATCTCGCCCTCTTTGCTTCCAGCCTCCGTGATCCGGAACACACCGCTGTACTTTGCCAATAAACTTCAGCAAGCGCTCCAGGTAAGAGGGACACCCCTTTTCCCTTTGGAACAGAAATTGGGAGGAGACCCCTCCTGGGCAAGACCGAGGAGGTTTCACACTGCTGCTCACATAGCAATCTCACATTACTTTGTAAACATGAGCAGCTGTCTTTTTCAGGTTTACAAACTGTCTTGTCAAGAGTAGGGGAGTGCGCTCTGGTTAGAGCTGAGTTAGCTGACCCCAAGGGCACTTCAGTCAAAATTTTGACCAAATTAATGTCTGGGTGGCCAAATATAGATATGAATTTGTTCTGTATGACAGTGCCTTGTCCTGTTTCAGGTGTTGCCAAAATGATGATGGATGATGGTTAGCTAGAAAGGAAGACGAGAGAGTCACCGTTTCTCAGGGGATCACTGTGTGCCAGGGCCTATGCTGAGCCCACTACACGTTTCAATGAATCCTCTTATCCACACTCCATCCTTGATTTTTAGATGAAAAAACTGAAGTACAGAGAGGTTAAGTACCTTGCCCAAGGCCACATAGCTATTAGATCATATAGCCTCCCTAAAACACACATAATGGTCCTATGGAACATTTCACTGCCCCGGGCCTGGTCTATACCGTAGGTGTTGGTCTACACGGTAAGCCATGTCCTCAGTGCTCCGGGTCCACCTCTCTCCACACTGGGCAGACTTTGCTGTGTATTATCCGAACAAATGGGTGATCTTGGTTTGAATAATTTTATAAACAGAATCCAGTCATTCTGCTCATTGAGCTAGGTCTCCTATTAGTACAACTGTCCCCCAAAACCTATAAATAAAAAGCTCACCCCAAAATTTAAGGACATAAAAGTAGTTATCATTTTGGCAGATGGAATAGCTTTCTGTATACTGGTGGGGAAACCACCATGCCTTACTAACAGCTATTCAAGACAGTACATAGAAGCACTTACGTTACCATCCAGAGATTTCCATTTTGACAGTAGATTATTGTGCTTATCCAATAAAGCCTGTACTGTTATAAGTGAATGCTAAGATTCATTTGAAAAGTTGTGGGTATCTAAATTCCCGTCAGAAAAACAAACTTGTATTCCAGCAGTAAATGATTATAATGTATTTGGCTTTCAGGACTCAGACTCTTGGATATAAATACCAGGTTTATCTTAAAACAATCTAGGCCTGCTTTTCTGAAAAATAATTTTTAAAAAGGAAAACTTGATCAAGACACTTTCATATTATGATTTTATGAGAGATACGTGAAAACATAGATTGTGAGAAGTATTTATTTAGAAAAATGAACATTTAGTGATGGCTGATTCAGGATAAAGTCAGACCAAATTGAACCATAAAGTGAATGTTCATTGTAAAGATGTGAGGGCAGTGTGAGATGCCAAGTACCTGCTCAAGTAACAGGACTGGAATTATGTTTGATGTAGGTTTGTGCGGAGAGTGCCTGTGCACCCCTGGGAATACTCGGTTAATAAGTGACTCTTGCCCCAGTTCTACAACCGGGGAGTAACAAGAGTTGGAAGAAGAGAAGAACGGGTACTGGGGAGCACTCGGCAATCTGTATCACAACACAAAACCGATGAGACGGGCAATTTAAAATACAGTAGCCATCAGGCCCACTGACAATTAGGTAATGAGTCCAAACGAAATATAGCATCCTGTTTTCACTTCATCACTCTCTTTTGCTTCTTCACAGGGGTTTATGGTCTGTGGGGATGCCGTAAGTGTGGGTTTCAGGCAGCTCTGGGAAGGGTCTCTTGAGTCAAGTGAAGGAGGAAACTCTGAAAAAGAGGATATTAGGAAATAGTGACAGCACCAGTACCCAGCTCATGACACAAAGAGGATTTCTGCAAACAAAATATTTTATTTAGAAATCTCTCATGAGAACATTGTTTATTATAATCAATTATAGCTCATGGCTTGATGATGTCCTATACCTGTATTATTTCCAAACTGAACCCTCCGTTACCATCTTTAACCAAAAGGCAGGAGGCCTGGTGCGGGTATAAGTGATGCTGAATGTCAGGGGTCCAACCCGGAGAAACCGGTGTTATCAGAATGAGAAGTCACTTGACCCTCCTCTCTCCTAGGACATTCACTAACTTGGAAGTTAAAAAGCAGTCTTCCTGGCTTTCATGCTGGAAGTCTTTAGGAAGCAAGTCTCCTCTAACCTTCCTTCAGTACCTGCTTTCAAGTGAGATTCTAAGCTAGTGGGAGGGCCAGGAAAGGCCTGGAAGGAACGAGAAGTATTCCAGCTGCCCCCACAGCAACTGGTCCTTCCTGCCACATCATCCTCCATGAGAAAGGACAAAGATAACTTTGTCCCTAGACAACGTGCACTTCTCTTTTTCCTTGACTCTCGCCTCACCAGCCCTCCCTAGAATAATTCACCGTGCAGTCCAGTCCCCACTCTGTGAGAATGTTACTACCACGACCTCCCCATTCTGTTTTTCCCTCTATCAGGAAACTGAGCCCAATTACCAAGACCTGATGCGCATCCTTATTTCTCGAAGTGAGACTGATCTTCTGAGTATTCGAGCTGAGTTCAAAAAGAAATTTGGGAAGTCCCTCTACTCTTCCCTCCAGGTGAGACTTGGCTGGTTCTTACCCTGGAGCCTCAGAGCTTCACCTCTGTGTGCACCTGCGCACAGCTGAGCATATTCATGCCCTGGAGAACTCAGGCGTCTTTGGTTAATTTAGTGCTGGACTCCAGGCACCAAACAAGCTCTGGATCAGCATGGGGGAGGGGACGCTACCTGAGCCATGGTGACGATGGGTCTTTCTAACACTCTGACTTTCTTGTCCACAGGATGCAGTGAAAGGGGATTGCCAGTCAGCCCTACTGGCCCTGTGCAGGGCCGAAGACCTCTGAGACCTCTCTGCCCCCATCCCCACATGACGTTCAAGGATCTGAGATTCCCATGTTTGGCTGAGCCTGCAAGAGACCACCTGGGCCTCCAAATAAGATAACCCCTCACTGAGCATCACATGCTCCAGCTTCTTGTTGAGGCTGGAACTCAAGGTTCTTTTAAATCCCTTAATTTCCCTCATTTCAAAGTGCTGTCTGCCCCTGGGTCCCCTCGCTCTATCCTGGGTGTGGAGTAATGGGCTCTCTCTGATGGTTTCTGCTCTACCCATCCCTCCCATACTCTGGCCAGAACATCTCACTGATACCTGAATTCTTTTGGCAAACTTCACTGTTGTTTGTGTTCCCTGATTGAAGTTTGGGTGGAACAGGACATGGGCTGGGAGGAGGCCCTGAAATTGGAGGTGCCTTTGATGTGCCATTATCAACAACCACCCCCTCCTCGGTGTCTCCCCTCACCCCCATTATTCTCTCTTCCTCAGGAAATTTCAGGCAAAATAACTGAGGAACCAGAACGAGGTCAGAAATGGTTAGAGGTAGCAAAGACCATCTGTATGATGGGAGACGTAGGCAGAGGATCAATCTACCCGTCACCTGCCTGGGAAGACTGGGGTTAGCAGGGAGCATAACCCGAAATTCATCTGTCCAAAGCAAGGACCTGGAAACCCACCTCCCAAATTAAAGTACTATTTCTCAAAGAAAACCTATTAAAAACAGAGAAACAAAAACAAAACAAAACGGAAAATGCAGGCTTTGGCTCCCCCTGCTGGCCCTATTAAAAATGACAGGCCAACCCTCAGGCCTCTACTCTCCCCCACCCTGCCTTTTGCATTCCTCAATTGGGTCAAATACTTAACCCCATAGCTGCAGGGTAAGGCAAACAACAGCTCTCCGGAAAGAAGTTTTATTTCCAAACCCCTAGGAAGGCATTACAAATAGTGGCTATAGAAACCCAAACCAAACCCTGAAACAAATGGATACGGAGGGGCCTGCAGGACGGCCAGGAGGACTCCACCAGTCAGGGGTAGGTAGTAAGGAAGATGCATTCCAGACAAGGACCTCACCCTGGAGCCTGAGTCTGTGTATTAATGTGACTATTCTGGTGAAAGGGAGTTGGGAATCAGAAATCCTCACCCCATCAACCCCAGTGTTGCCCTGGAGGGCTGGGAGGAGGAGGAGGCAGCACTTGAGGGCAAGGACGTCACAAGTCTGACCTTGGCATTTACTGCCTGCTTTGATCCCCAACAGTCCATAAATAAGTTACCCTGAACATCTCAAGTTGAGCTGGGGGAGCAAGCCACAGAGCCCCAGCCTCCGGACGCAGAGGCCAGGCAGCCTGGCACTGACGGCGCTACAGGAGGACACAGTCGGACTCTTGCTTCGGTCTTTGCCGACGCTCGGTGGCTGGGCGTCCAGATGTGGCTCCTCGCCCCTGGATCAGATTTAACAACTGGTCATCCCTCAACCGTGGAAGAGCACACGGACAGAGATTCTAGGTGGAAGCAGGGTCAGGATTGGGAAGGGCAGTTCAGGGAGAAAGACAGGAAGGGGCCCAGGGGAGAGGAACCCAGGGGAGAGGGACCCAGGGGAGAGGGACAGACAGGAGAAGGGCCCCTGCCCTGAGGAACACTCTGAGGGGACGTTGGCAGGAATAAGTGTCTGGACGAGGCGAAGCAGGGGCAGCTCACAGGAGATGCGGGAACGCTGGAGGGGCGGCGCTGAGGGCAGGGCGCAGCAGGCTCACCTGTGGTGGCGACGGGGCCCGTGCTGGTGCGGGCTGGACCGCTTGGTGCTGTTGGTACTCCTCTTGCTGAAGCTGCTGGGCCAGTTCCAAGTCACTAAGACCTAACGTGCCCTGCGGCTGCTGCTGCTGCTGCAGGGACAATGCGATCAGGTAGTCCTGGAGGGAGGGGAAAGGACAAGTGTCGGTGGAGGCGCTGGCTGGGGCAGGGGGATACCCAGGCTAGGTTTAGGTTTAGGTTTAGGTTTCCAAACCAGCCGTTTCTCTTCCTTCAAATTCCCTAGCTCCTTCTCCTCCAGAGCAAAACACACAGCCAAGTGTATTACCTGTGGTGCCAGAGAACACACACCAAGTGCGGAGATGTTCCAAAGGTAACAGAGAGGAGAAGGCCAAGTGTGTCATATGTTACAGCCTCTAGATGATAAGATGCAGGCAGCTGGCCTGTGGCAAAGAGCTCTCTGAGGCAAATGTGCCCTCTGCACCCTTCCCAGAGGCCCCACACACCTGGTCCACCTGCCGCTGCTTCTCTGGGGAGCCGCTCGCACTTTCTGCGCCAGGCCCCTTGCCCAGGGAATGACTCAGGTGGAAGTCAGAGTCACAAAAGCAGCTGTCTCCGTCCACATTGTGCAGGCTCTCCCACACCACCTGCTCCTCCTGTAGAAAGCCCTGGTCAGTGACCAGTAGGTATAAGTGACTCTGCAAAGAAGAGGACAATGTTAACTGGTAAGATAGACGACACGGAGGCAGTTTATGGCCAGAAATCATCTGAGATGCACAGAAACTATTTGAATCAATTGGTATGCCAACTGGAATATGTGAGCAAAGTGGATCTTTTATAAAAATGCATGGCTGTGGGAAGAAGGCAGGGCTGTCTGAGGGCACGGCCACCTGGGTGTGTGGATGGCGGTCACTGTGGCCAAGCATGGAGTCCTCGGGGCTGGGTTCCACCCAAGACACTGCTGCCTACCCTACCTCCCCTGGTTCTCTGGGCTCACCTGATGGCTATGAGGGTAAATCCTTCTACTCAACTCAAGAGCTCAGACAATTTCTAACTTTGGAAAACTGTAGTATTGTTCAAAAACTCCACTGCCACTTCCTGGGAGAGGATTTTTACTTTCCTGTCCCATTGACGGCAGGCTGACTCCTCAGGGCTTACTCTGGCCAGGGAGGGGTTAGCAGGACTCATGTGTGTCATTTCCGGGCAGAAGCCCTAAAAGCAAGGGCCTGGTGTCCCTCTGTCTCTTTTAACTCCTCTATTGCAGATAACGGCTGTCTTGTCAGCCGGGGTCCCGGAGTGATGATGCGGGACAGAGCTGCAGCCAGTCGGCAGTAGACAGGCAACATGAGTGAAAAACAAATCTTCATAGTGGTAAACCACAGAGATTTTAGGGGTCATTTGTCACCACAGCTTAATCTACCCTATCCTGATGGAAACACTGACCCGGAAGAAAAAGGCAGGAGGGAATGACAGCCCTGCAACCCCCACGCCTCCAAACCCTCATCACCTTGTGCTTAGTCATTGTGCTAAAGTGGTTGTTCCGGAAAAAGACGCTAAGTTCGCCCTCCTTGGCAGCCGCCGTCAGCTCACACAGACCATGGTAGGTCAGCTGTGCGGCCGTGGTCTCCAGGAACTGCTCTGCAATCAGGCCTGGCAGCAGGGCACAAGAAGGGGGAAGGGGGGGGCTTAAAATCCAAAGTCCACAGTAGGAAGGACCATCCAGAGAGCCCCCGCCAAAGAGCAAGGGGTCAGTTCCACTTTGTGAAATCCCTTCCCTGAAGCCTGTATTCATTCATTCAGCAGATGCTAACTGAGCAGCTATTTTGCCGCCAGGCACCGTGTGAGGGACTGGGGGGTGAAACGATGAACGAAGCAGGCAACCCCCTAAACTCACTCTCATGGAGCTTTTATTCCAGTGTGACATGGTGGGGGGGACAGTAAACGGTAAACCGAAGGGGCCATCATTCCCTCCACCGAAGACCCACAGAAGAGAAGGGAGGGATGGCACCTTCTGTCACCAGGCTGGTGTCGCTGGAGTGCTTGCAGGTGATGATCTTCTCCACCAGCTGGTTGTAGCTCAGTTTCCCAACCGCGCTCACAGCCTCAGGACTCTGCAGGGGCAGTGGGGTGGTGCAGAAAAAACTGAGATCTTTTTTAGGAAGGAAATGAACCAAGTCCACAGGCACTGCAACCCTACGACCCAAGCTTCCTGAAACTCTCGACCTTGAAAAGTACCGACCTATTTGCCTGTGGTTTGCTTGCATTTGAATGTTTCTCCCACAAAAAAGGTGAAAGTTAAAGGAATTCTGCACTGGACCCACCCTTTAAACCTTAATCCCCTCCCAAGGCAATCTGCTCCCTGCCTCCCTCACCCCCAGCCCATAAAATTTTTTTCTTTCTCAACTTGAGCTGGTTAAGAGTCTCATTTGGGCTCTCTCACTCTCACCTGTGGATCAACAAGCCAGCCATGGTACAGAGGTATGCCTAGTAGGTCAAAGATACTGCACTCGGGTGTGTACTCAAAATCAGAGACGCCTGTGAACCGCACATTGACATCCAGCCCTGTGGCCAGCTTAGGCAGCACTGTCATTGCATCGTCCACATTCTGGGATAGAAAACGATGGACAGAGCAAATCAGCACGTCGTACATCTTAAGCTTACACAGTGTTATATGTCAATTACATGGCAATAAAGCTGGGAAAAAAGAAAATGATGGCTATCCTAGCCTCTCCTCCCCCCACGCCACTCCCACCTCCAGAAAAGAAATCTAACCTTGTTGCTTTTCTTCCCCGGTTCCCTCACGAGCCACTGCATTCCTCCCTTGCATCAACCCTTCTTTATCTTATGTAAATAGACATACTGTCTAGGACAGAGGTACACCCTCCCCCTCCTGCAGAAAGAAATCACAGTTCAAGGAACCCTCTCGAGAAGTGTCAGAAAGGCCCCTCTAACAGCCCGCCTGTCCCCTTATAAACCTGCAACCACTGCGTCCACAGACCTTTCACCTCACCTGCTGGAAATTAAGCTGAAGTCCCTCTGACTTCTCCTGGGGCTTGATGGACAGAAGGCAGTCTCCTGCAAGACAGGAATCCTTATCAACTTACCCCACCAATTGTCCCAAAAGCTGCTTCCTCTTCTCCTGGAGAGCAGGGATGTCACAGAACCACAGATTTTCAGAGCTACAAGGGGCCTTAGAATCTAACACAGACCTTTCATTTCTCTGAGGAAGAAACAGGCTCACAAAGGTGAAGGGCCCACCCAGGGTCACACGTGAAAGCCAAGGGCAGAACTGGGGTTACGACTCAGGACTCCTGACACCTTCACTTTTGCTTTTCATCCCCCAGCCCTGCAGAGAAGCCCCGTAGACCTTTACCTTCCCTGCCACAAAAGAGCCCCGAATGGGGGGGTTCCCTCAATATTCTGGATTTCTGGCTGAGTGGATAGCACTGGAACCTTTTGGGTAAGTCCTCTTCAAGGCCCAGTCACTCACCAAGGTGGGCCATGAGCTCATCTGATGTGATCACTTCCTTCTGAGGTGGCAGCTTCACCTGGGGGCAAGGAGTGATCAAAGTCAGCCATGCGTGTGCTTTCCTTCAGGCAGCACTGAAGGAGGAACCCACAGAAAGGCAGGGGTGGGGGAGGGGGCTGTCCAGCAGTGGGGGGTGGGGTGGGGGTGGGGAAAAGGCCTTGGCAACTGGAACAAAGGACTGAATGTGAGATACTGCAAGGCATTCCCATTTGCTAGAGAGTAGAAGACACAGGAGCAGGACAGATAATTGTTTTGTTTTTACGAATATCTTATCTCATTTGTTCAAGCTGGAGGAGTAGGAAGGATAATCTGGAAAGTTTTGACAGGTTTGGGAAAATCAGAATGAGCAACATTTCCTGAGCCCCCCTTCCAAACTCTCTCTCACCTTCCACTGAAGAAGGAGGATGTTCATGATGGCGAGGAGAGGGCACGGGCCGTTAGCACTCTGGGTGATGATGGGTGTCCGTTCTCCCTTCCAGGGGATCCACTTTACACAGTAGAAGTCTAGCTCAGGCTGTCGGGCTCTGGGGGACTGGGGGAGCTCCTGCGGCCTGGAGCAGGCCCCCACCGTCTCTACCTCGGGCTGCGTCCCCTGAGCTGGCCCCAGTTGGCTTGAGCTAGCATCAGGTGACAGGGGCTCGAGGTTATCCTGGCCCTGGGCCAGCGGCAAACTTTGCTCGGCCAGCTCCTGTTCTCCAGCTGCCCCATCAGCATCTTCGGCATCCCTGTCCTGAGGGTGCTCCTCTGCTTCTGACGGGACCGCGTGGTTCTCTGGGCTGACTGCGTCTGCAGTGCTGTCTTTAGCAGAGGCTGGATGCTCAGGCTGATGGTCTTCCATGGTCAGCGCGGGGCAGCTGAGGGGTCCCAACGGGCTTTACTGTCCTCAGGGACTGACCTAATCCAGGCTCGATATGCGAAAGAGAGAATGATCCAATAAGAAGGAAGTCATCAGGCTGGAAAGCAACTAGACCCAGAAAAGTCTTGGAAAACCAGCGTAGCGTGGAAGGCGTGGCTAGTGTCTGTTCAGTCCCTCTGGGCTCTGGGCAGTACAGCTCTGGGGTAAACAGAAAGGCCCCAGGCTGAGCTCTTTCACCTCTAACTTGCTGTGACCAGGTGGGACCAGCGCAGGTGCAGGGCTTCCAGGCTTGGGAGGGATGGTTCCAGCGGGAGTGAAGACATTGGGTGGAGTCAGCTTCCCTGAAACAGTAAGGACAAGGAAAGGAGGAAAGGCAGAGAGAAAGGAAGAGCAAAAGGAGAAAGAAGGGAAAGAGATGGAGAAAGAAATGTTACAACTATACTAACGGTTATTAAGAGCACGCTCTTTAGCTCATCCTGTGGTTGGCCCGCCGCAGCCAGGACAAGAGTCCTTCCTCTGTCCAAGCCTAGCCCCTCCCCTTGGCTGTTCAGGGCTTGTACCTTTAGGGCTACCTCTCTCTGCCTCACCCCAAAGGCAAAACGATAAACACTCATAGAGCGTTTGGGGTGAAGAATGAAACTGCAGAGAGCCAATATCATGACCCTAGAGGAGAAATACCAGCGAGAAAGCAGTCTTTCTCCACCAAGAACTCCACTGAACTTTACACAATCCCAAACCACAACAGAAAGATCCTAGGAGGGGCTTCCTGTAGGCTAAAGAGGGGAAGTGTGCGCCCTGGGGATCTGAATCAGAGATTGGTTCCGATAAGTAACTTCAGATTAGAGGCACCAAAACCATCCCCCCCCAAACTCTTCCAGGAAGCTTCCTTAGACAGCTGGAGCTGGAATAGCAACTTCTCCTCAGTTCTCTTTGCTCCAAAAACTACCCAACCCAGAGGTACCCTCTTGCCCACTACATGAAATATGAAAATGCTGATTAAAAAAAAACTTTTTTGAGGAGGGAGGTAATTAGGTTTGTTTATTTATTTATTTTAATGGAGGTACTGGGGATTGAGCCCAGGACCTGTGCATGCTAAGCATGCGCTCTACCACTGAGCTATATCCTCCTCCACCCTGATTATTGATTTATGTAAAAAAGTGCTCCCTCTACTGTTGTGGGACACATCGTGGCCAGTCGGTAGGTAAGCCAGTGACACGTGGGTTGGTAAAGGAATCTACCAGAGATTAAGTATGGGAGTGGAAAGGAGTTTATTAGGGAACACTGCCATAGCCCACAGTGGGCCACACAGACGAGAGGGGCCTGCTGAGCCCCGAGGGCCGGCTGTTGGGGGGTTTTATAAGGTCGGGTGGCAGGATGCCTGATCGGCTTGAGGCCAAGTCTGACTGATTGTAGGTGAGGTAAGAGGTTTAGGGTCCGCTAAGGGCTGTGGGGTTTATGACTCTGATAAGGTGGGCTGAAGCAAGCTGGCCTGAGCTGTTGCGAGATTAGGCATTACTTAGGGTTATTAGTTTGCTAGGGGAAACACGCCCAGTAAAGAATGTACTTTATCTGTTGACAGGGACGGCAGGCAGACACCTGAGAGCCCAGGAGTGGGGGTCGTTGGACTTTGAAGGACATCAGTTGGCCCAGCATCTTTGTTCATCTACCTGTGCATATGTTCTTCCTGTGTATTCCTACCTAGGTCATTTAAGATGTCAACACTGGACCTGTTTAACCTGCTCTCTGTCAGCACTAAGCGTAGATAGACATTTTATTAACACCATGGGCTGTTAAAGATATAAAGCCACGAACCCCCCTGAAAAACATCTCCCTGCAACCTCCTTGCTCCCTTCTCCACCTTGCTCTCCTCTCCCCCTTACTCAGGGTGAGAAAAGGGGAGAAATGAAACTTGTTAGAAATCATTTCTCTCGCTTCCTCTTAACCTGAGACTGTCCTCTTGCAATCCAGCAGGAATTTAGGGCTAGGTAAAGCCTGTGGATGAAGTTGAGAAACACAGAAGCCACCGAAATAAGCCTAGTCACTCAAATCGATCATCCTCCTGATTCAAATATAATTTATGCTAGCTGCATCTCATTTACATGTTGTTAACTTAGAATTAGTGTTAATTTCAAAAAGAAAAGAAAGAAAGAAAGAAAGAAAGAAAGAAAGAAAGAAAGAAAGAAAGAAAGAAAGAAAGAAAGAAAGAAAGAAAGAAATAGAATCAAAGCAGCAAAAATTGCCTGTAGGCCTTACAGGTTTTGTTTTTTTTTTCTCTCTCTCCTTTTTCCCCTCCCTTCCCAAATGACACTTAGAATGAGCCTGGGGTGGGAGGATATAGCTCAGTAGTGTGCTTGCTTAGCATGCACGAGGTTCTGGGTTCAATCCCCAGTACCGCCATTAAATGAATAAATAAATAAAAATAAACCTAATTGCCTCCCCCTACCAAAAAATAAAAACGAAAAAATAAAAAAGAATGAGCTTCAGAAGCAGAAACCAGCGCCTGGGTAAATTTTTTAAAAGCTTAGAGAAAAGCAGGGCTTATTTCTTATCTTTTCTGTCAATGCCAGAAATGATCAGTAATTAAGTGGGGGCTGGGCAGCTAGCTGGCTGGAGGGCTGAGCCAAGAGAGGCTGGACACCGGAGGGAGCTGGGCCTCAGAGACACTGGGCAAAGCTAAGGGGCTAAGGCTTCAGGAGAGGGGCAGGAGGCACGGTGGAGGGCTTCCCCTCTACAAGGCGCTCACCAGATGGAGTATCAGAGCAGGGGAGGGCGAAGGGAGTGTCCTAGTCAAACAAATCAGGATTTCATTCTTTTCCTCTTTTCTTAACTCAAGTTCTACATTTTCTCTCCGGCTGGAATTATCCTCTGGGGATGAGTGAGGGGGTTAAAACAGCCCCGGCCCCTCCCCAGCCAGTGGCAGTAAATCGCCAGAAGTTGGAAGAAGCATATAAAACAGGTATGTAGCTTTAATGAGACATCCCCTCCCGGCCCTTCTACACAGGAACTTTACTTTCCCCTCAAGTGCTTTGCTGTCCCACCTTAATCTCCTTCTCAGTCAGACCCAAGTCTGCTGTCTACTGGCCAGCAAGGGAGAGGGGGAAGGTGTCATTAAAAAGAGGAAATGTAGGGACCAAGCAGCACCTCTTTTACATTTTCCTCCTGCCTTAGTTCCCCTCGAAGTCCAGACCTGTAGAGACCCAAGGTGGAAGGACAAGTCCGTGTCACCGCCCCAGATCTGGAGAGGAAGGGGAGAACTGGGGGTTAGGAGAAGAGGTGAAGAAAATGGTTAAAACAGTTTTTACCTTAAAGAAGTGGGTGCTGTTCCAGGACTTAGAAGGAGGGTTCAACTCTGGCCATACGATGGGGGAGGAGGGTACAGTGAGGGGCGCCGCCACAGTCGCAGCTGCCTCCCAGCTGTCAACACCAGAGCTTATACGGGTTTATGAGCGGCGGTCCTGGCTGGATCGTGGCCACTTCCGGACTCACGCCCACGACCCGGGCACTGGAGGAAGGTGGAGGCGGGCAGGGGTGCCGCCAGGTGCTACCCGGTGGCTCAGAATGTCTTCAGGATTTCTGAGTCGCTGAGTCAAGGGCGTGCGCTCCAGGCCCTGTCCATAAGCTGGTTTTCAAAGGAAGTTTGTGGTTTTTCTTTTTTCTTCTTTCTCTCTCTCTCTCTTTTACCCATCGGGACAAAGAAAAATCAGTCAAGGACAAGCTTCCTGGAGGAGGAGGAGCCTGCCCAGCTCTGGAGGATTTCCATTAGGGCTTTCTGACCTGGTCAGCAGCTTGGTGATCAGCAATGAGGGAGAGAAACAAGGAGAGAAAAACAACAGACCCTTTCTCTTCCCTTCGCCTACTGCTGGAAGGGACGGAGCACTTGTGCCTCTCTGGTGAGAACAGGGAAGAGCAAGTGCCCTTGCTGAGGGGAGGAGCAGGGCTGGACAGCAGCAGCTTGTTGGAGCCGGGCTTTCTCCCTGGGTATGGCAGTGCTTTGCTCTGGATCCATAGAGGCAGGGACAAAGAACATGGTATTTGCATATTTACTCATTTAAAGTGAAAAAAAAATCCTGCTCCTTTCCAAGTCCTTACTATATCATGTTTTAAAATCAAGAAATGAAGCTGTTTGGGCTGTACCCTGGTAGTGCAGAAGGTGTGGAAGAAGCCCCAGGCTCTGGGAAGAGTGCAGTGGGGAGAAAATTAGCTGCAAGCCGGAGACCCAGCACCCCTGTGCTCTGGTCCCTGTTCCCACCACAGGCCCCAGCTCTCATCTGTCATGTCCTCTCCATTCCTAGCGTGGGGAGCAGGAAAAGCTGGTGGTAGGAAATAGAAGGATTCATTAAAAACGAGGGAACATTTGATGATGAGAGTGCATTTATGTGCAATACTCTTCATTACTCTGGGGCTGGAAGGTGGCAGTTAAAGGAGGTTGGAACCCAACCCTACATTCTGAAAGGCCCTCCAATCTCTACTTACAGGGCTGCCGCAGGATGAAAACTTTAAGCAACTCTGAAAGCTGAAATGGGCAGTCGGAACAATTAAGGAGGCAGAGAGCAAAGAACCCGGGTTACAACAGTCTAGGAAAAGAATGAGGAGACATTTGCCGTCGCTATGAAAAACAGGATAGAGTTGTGAAAGAAGCCAGGAGTTGGCAAGAAACTAGGTGTTAAGAAAAAAAAGAGAGGTCAGGGATTATTCTAAAGTTTTGTAACACAGAAAATCACAAAATTGGTGGCAATGGGTCAGTTTGGTTAAGGGGAGCATTCGAGGAAGGAGGTTGAAGGGCTGTTCTTGCCCAGTGTAATTTAAGATGTCAACCTGATGGCTGGGGTAACATATGGACAGATGCTACATTTAGCCTGACTCGAGAGGGCGCGTTCAGATGCCACAAAGATAGGTTAGGTGACACCTGTACATTTGGGTGTCAGATAAATGATCTCAGAAAATTCTCCTTCCCTCGGTTTTTCGGAGCTTCTGAACTACATTTCCCAGGATGCCCTGCACCACGCCCCACTTCGCGCCTCTGGAATGGCGTCCCGTGAGTCCCTGGGCGCAGAGCTCGGCCTCCGCCGCTGAGGGAGGGGCGACGACGGACTCCCTGGGCGCCCGATTACGCACTTCCTCCAGGGGTCAGGGCCGCATCGCGGTGTAGCGGGTTCGAGTCCCGCCTCCTGACTCTCGCCTCAAGCCCCTGAGTGCGGGGCGGGGCGCATTCTCCGGGTAACCTCTCCGCGAAGAGGGGCGGTGGCACGCCTTGGGCTTCACCATGGAGGACTACCTGCAGGGTTGTCGAGCTGCTCTGCAGGTAAAGGACCCCTGTCTGTGATCGTAAGGAATGGAGCCTGGGGTTCAGGAAGGACGAAGATGTGGGATCCGGGGGAGCCCGAGGGTGTGTGTGGAGGGATCGTGGAATTGTGGGTTGGGGGCTCGGGATCTGATCAAGCTTAGGGCCTGAGAAGTGAGGAGCGAGAACCTACCCCTTGAGAGTGGGAGTGCTGCTCGGTCACCCCGTTTGGGGGCCCCTGCCTTTGGGGTCCGCCCGAGAGCGGGGAGGAGGATGCATGGGTCTGGGTCCTGCCCCTGAGCCGCTGCTGGCTGTCGCGGGTCGGTTCCGTCAAAAGGACCGGGCTGCGCTGCCGCGAGATGTATTTGTCCCTTTCTCCCCGCCCCTCTCTCAGTTCTCCGCTCGCGAGGCGGCCTTGGCCCACTGGCCTCCAGGTGAACCCCGGGGGGACGAGGGAACCGGTGCCCACGGCTTTGCTGCCTCTGAACGGCGGTTTCTGTCCGGCGGGCCTGACTCATTCTACATTAGGGGTGGTGGTGGTGTTTTACTTTAAATCTGTTCTTAAGGTAAACATACACAATACAACAGGCATGTCTGTTGACCCATAACCTGCATTCCTTTGCCTTCAGTTTTCTTCCTTGGCCTTAACACACACAAATTGCATAAAAATCCGTGGCCTGGACGGGATAAGCACAAAGTGTGTTTGGAATCAAAACTATAAACATGACTCCTGAATGCCTTGTGGCTTATTTTTGTACTCTCTGAGCCGGTTGGAATCGCCCAGCCATGTTGACTGGTCGTGTAGCGTTAGGCTGCTGTTTTATTAGCAGCAAAAAGCTGGCTAGAGAAAGGCTCCAGGAGATCACCTGGCCCCCCTACTTCGAGTTATATTGTCCCTGGAGAAATCTAGACAGATGGTTGGCTATTCTTCCTTTTTGAGTATCTTAAACTCTACAAATTCCCCTGGGTGATAGATTCTGGTCTTTAACAAATCCTAAAATTTACCTAATTCCTCCTGCAGACTCAGCTGCTGTCATAAATGAATATCCTCACCTGAAAAATAGGGGTGAAGTTCAATTTTAACATCAATTACACCAAAATTTTTCCTTGTGAAATTCAAATTTTGGGAAAGTTGTTTTAATGCATAAGGTGATCTGGGGCCAATTCGTTTTGGCTACCTCTGACTTCTGTCACAGAGAACTCATTGGAGGACTGATACAGCCTTTGTGGCACCATTCCCAGTGCTAGGCGGTTGGATTTTTTCCCCCAATAACCCGAATGACCAGTCTCTTTTTCACCATTTGGTAAAGAGTCCTTGAACCTGAAACCTCACCAGATAACACTTCATGGCATGCATCTGTTCTGCAGCATCCACCCTCCAGAAATACCCCCAGGTTAAGAGTGTATCTTCCTCAGGTGTATGAAGCTGAAAAACACTGGATTTTTTTCAGTATTACTGGTATCGTGGTGACCTTTCTTTGCCAGCATTCATCCCCCAAGGAACAAAATCTAGACCTTCCTTTTTCCAAACTTGTGGAGTTGTGAAGGCGAAGTCCTGTCTTGGAGCTCTTATCATCACCACACAGCCTATCCAGTGCCAGGAGAAACAAGAAAATTAGACACTGGGAATGTCAGCCAGTGAACATGGGCAGCAACAATTTAGATTGCTTTTAATTATAGAAGTAGTAAATGTACATAGTGAGAAAATTTTAATACAAAAAGGATATGAAATTAGAAAAAAAGATCATTTTGTTCTCTCTCTCCAGTTCCCCAGTGGCCACACTGTTGTTTCTTGTGTAAAGAAAGACGTGATTTAGACAGAGACACTGTTAAGTTTGAGTGTTTCTGTCGAATTACAGTATGACTTTTAGGAAATTGTCAACTTTTACACAAGATAGAAACAGCTGATAACCCAGCCAGCTCTCCTGTTGGTACCATATTTTCAGCATTTGATACCAGAAAAATTTTCTCCAGTAGCGGCCACAATAATAGTAGGTTGTTCCACTGAGAAGAAATCCTGTTTAACTAAATGTCCTATTCATGGTGAGTCATCTTGCACTTTTGGTGAGGAAAAAAAAAAATCTTTGCTTCAGGGTGGGGCTGCATTCAAGTTTAGGTGTTCATCCAGAAGCCTTTGGATAATCTGTGTTGTCTGCACTTGTCAGCCTGAGGCCAGAATCAGGAGTGCTGATTCTCCTTAGAAATTTGCAGTCCTGGCGATAGTGTCAGTCTGTCCCATTTTCCCTGCTGGGAGGGCTTCTCTATCTCTGGCTCCTTGTCTGTTTTTTTTTCCTCCCATTAACTATTGTGTAGAGTAGGCATCAGGCCATATTCAGCCTGAGAAGGGAAGTGGTTGGCTTTGCCAGCCCTAAAACCCATCCCCTCTCTCCCGCTGTTGAGGCTACAGAGAACATTAGGACATAGTCATTTCAACCAGTGGTTTTCCTTTTTTTTTTTTTTTTTTTTAAAGAAAAGAAAACTTTATATCTGCTTGTGGCTCTCAGATTGTATTTCTTCCATTGGCAGCTCAGGTTTCCTCGTGCTCTAAGTGTAGCTATATTTGCCCTGAACTCTTCGTCTGATGGTCAGAAAACAGAGGCTGTTTGGCTTGCGCTTTCAGCTGGTGGCGGATAGGCTGGGGGTTAAGAGTTACACGTATTTTCCCTCAACGAGGAGGGGAATGGTGCCTTGTAGGTTAGGCGTCCATACGACCGGCTTGCCCAGGACAGTCTGAGTTTACTGAGGTATAATCATTCATTGCATCCCTTCTCATTCTCAGAAGTGTACTAGTTTGAACAACAAAGTTTACAGGCACCTAAGTGGTAAGCAATGTTAAGGATTTGTGGTACATGCCCAGGAAAAGATGGCAAGCTCCTTAAGGTGGTAGTTGAGTTCCACATGAGAACCCCAGGAGCTGGAGCTGGACAGGAAGAGGTCGCTTTGGCCTGGGTGGTCAGGGAAGACTTCAGACAGAGGGGGCTTTAGATAAGGCTTGACCAGACAAGGAGGGCCAGAAAAAGGAGAAGATGGGAAGGAGCTCATCTCTGTTACTACAGGGCAGGCTTTCATGTGCTGTCTTACTCAATCCTCATAACAGCTTGCTGAAATTGGTTACGGTAGTATCCTCATTTTTATATGAGAAAAATGAGGCTTAGGCCAACGTCCCACAACAAGTAAGAAACGGAGCTGAGAGTCAACCCCAGTCTGTGGTCATTTCTGCTGCTTTCAGACAGAGAAGAACAAATAGTGCAGAGGACAGAGCTGGGAACGTGCACATCGTGTCGTGTGGGTGGTGAGTGGGTCAGTCAGGCTCAGTGCTGGTGGGTGCGACAGGGGAAGGGAATGCCGCCACCTCCCTCGGGTGCTCCTGTTCCAAGATTTGCTAAAAATCCCAGCGTATTCCTTTTGTACCAGTTCCTTTTGGTTGCCGTCTGACGTGGGCTGAGCACAAGGGGTTAGTTGTTCACCTTCCTCTGGAATCATTTCCTTTCCCTTTAGAGCCATGAAGTTGTATTTGGTCCCTCCTTTGTGCTTAGCCTCCTCTCGGTGCTGGGGAGCTGACTGATTCTTATTTGGCTGCCACTCGGAATGAAGCAGCACTGATGTGAGTTTTGGAAAGGTTCTCCGAGGGCCTCTTTGTGCCCAGAGATAGGCCTCTTCCCCTTACTCTGCCTTTTCTCTGTTCCTCTTGCCTTTATTCTCCAGAGTCAGGGCAATACGGCCTCTCGTGTTTGTATAGTTCCCTGTCTAGAGAACATGGTGCCCTCCCTTACTGCTTCAGTGAGCCAGCTATCTCTGCAGCCACTTATCTCAGGTGCTTTGTTGTCACTTTGGTCCACAGCCATCTGGGCAGTTGTTGGTATCCAGGAAACAGAGGGGCCTTCTCTGGTATCAGGAGGAGGAATTGCAAGTCAGAAAAATTACTCTAAGACTCGGGTCTTGGGTACAGAATTCTCACGTTGTGTTGGGAAAGAGTTTAATATCGAAAAGAATCCTCCCTCTCCCAGGCTGCTCAGGGCGACCGGCTCTTGGCGGCCACCCTCTCGAAACAGGCTTTGAGAAATGAGCACAGGGGAGAGCTTAAGGGCAGGCCTTCCCCAGAGGTCCTTTGCCCCAGACCTCGACAGATAGCCTCTGCCACTTGCCCTTCTCTCTAGCAGTGGGAGTGGGAGATGGGGAAGAGGGTGGTTTAGAAACAAAAACCTATCTAGTTACTAGGTAGCACAATTAATTCCACCAAAAGTCTTCCTAAGTTGTCCCTTTCTGGCTGTGGCTTCTTGGGGTGGTGAGGGGCTGGGGTGACACCAGTACAGAGAGGTGATTCTAGGCTCCCCTCGATCATCTTCTCCCCTGAAGTTACATTACTTGTTAAACTATTCCTTGTTACGTTTTGTTCCTCTGAACACCTTTTGCACTTTTCTAAACTATTCCATCTAGCAAATCGTCCCTGATTGAAGAAGCCAGATTGGATTTTCACCTTTCCGTAACCCAGTAGTTCTCAGCTAGGGGTGAGCTTGCCTCCCGGAGAACACTTGGCAAGTCTGGAGACATTTTTGATTGTCGTGACTTGGGGTGCTCCCAGCAACTAGTGGGTAGAGTCAGAGGATGCTGCCAAACATCCTCCAGTGCACAGGGCAGCCCCACAGCAAAGAACTATCCAGTCCAAGATGCCAGCAGGGCTGAAAGTGAGAAACCATGTGTCTCATTTGTCTCTCTTATCCCCTCCTCTCTCAGAAGTAGGCCGAGGAGGCTCTGCCCCTCTAGCCAGCAGCGGAGGCAAACAAGGAGGCTGAGACAGGAATTCAAGAGTAAATTGGGTAGAGAGAATCCTTGTGCTCTAAGCTGAGCCGTGGACTTTGTGGTCTTATTCCACCTGGCCAAATGCAAACAGTTGGAATGAAATAATAATTCTTAACATGCCTACCTCTTCGGATTGTTTTGAGGGTTAAATGATTTGCTCATGCACATAAAAACATTAGAACAGTGCCTGGCACACTCAATACATGTTTAAAACAAAACCCTTGTCTCTGCTATTGTGGGCACCTGTAGGTTTAAATGTATTTTATTTAAAATTCTGATAGGATGCAAGGGAACAAGGTTAATAATAGCACATATGCCTCCCTCCTCAGAGTTCCCATCAGCAGCTGGACTTCTCAAAGCTTTAAAAATAAAACTTCCAGCAGTAGCAGCAACTGTTCTTGCTTTTATCTGAACCTGCTGGGGAAGGTGTCAGTTTCTTGGGTTGTGAGCATATATTGGTTATATCTGGTTATCACTGAAGTGCCTCTGGGTTGGGAGAGTTTTCATGGACTAGATTTCTGGATGATGGACTAGACCTTGTTTTTAACCTTTCTTTTCTTTTCTAAGCTGAAGTATAATTGATTTACAATGTTGTGTTTCTGCTGTACAGCATAGTGATTCAGTTATATATATTCTTTTTCATTATAGGTTATTGCAAGTTATTGAATATAGTTCCCTGTGCTGTACATAGGACCTTGTGTTTATCTATTCTGTGTATAGCAGTTTGTATCTGCTAATCCTAAATTCCCAGTTTATCCCTCCCCCACCCCCAGCCTTTATCTTCAGAGTCTCTTCACCTGTTCTCGTGATCTAGAAGTGCAAGGATTCTTTTCCCTGTTTTGAAAATGGAGAAAAAACAAACCAGGGTTGATATGGTTTGAATACATCAGCTACCCCAAAGGCTCTACCTTTGACTTCTCCTAGAGCGCCCAAAGAAGCGCAAGGAATCAGAGAATTATTTACTTCTCTGTTCGTCACTAAGTTAACATTCAAGGAGATAGTGTAGGAGAGAGGAAGGAGCACTTTCCCACTAACTAGGCACGTGTGGAATGCTTAAAGCTAAAACATATGCTCTCTCAGTTAATATCGTCATGAAACAAGGACCCATAAGACTATCTGACCTACCCCCTCTGAAGATCAGAGAGGGTGTGCGTGCAGCCCTACTTAAATATAAGGAAAATGGAAATGAATAGAGATACTTTCATTAATTTCCCATTCTCCTGTATCTTCAGGTGTCCCGACCGATACATGTTGTGCTGGGAAATGAAGCCTGTGACTTGGACTCCATGGTGTCAGCTCTCGCCCTGGCTTTTTACCTGGCAAAGGTGAGTACCTAGGAAGAGTCCCTTAGAATGAAAAGATTTGCATTTAAGACCCAGCTCTGCCACTTAACAGCATTTAGCCTTGAGTAAGTTAAATCCCTTGACTGTGCTGAGACTCATGTCACCATCTGTAAAATCTAAAATGCTAAGGTTTTGCAGTGTTGCTATGAGGATCAAATGAGCAGATGTATTTTGAAGAATTTGTAAACCATAAGCAACATTCAAATAGTTAATTACTGAGTTCCTTATGGATATCAGTGATCTAGGGTATAATCCTCAGGGCCATGTCAGCTCTTGAGGACCGATAGTCCCTTCTCTGCAACATCTAGAACTGGGTCTTTTCCAAGCGTTATCTTGTTGACCTTCATGTTATTGCTAAGAAGGAGAGAAGGCAAGAGTCGTCCTTTTATTTTGATAAGACTGGGCGATTGCAGCTTTGAGAAGGGCAGTAACTTATCCAAGGTCGTGTCTCCCTTGGTCCCAATAGTCTTGTTACTTTTCCTGTCCTGTGACATAATATTGCCATACCTGCTTTTCACTTTTCTATCCAGACAACTGAGACTGAGGAGGTCTTTGTGCCAGTTTTAAACATAAAACGTTCTGAGCTACCTCTGCGAGGCGACAATGTCTTCTTCCTTCAGAAGATTCACATTCCAGAGTCCCTTTTGATTTTCCGGGATGAGATTGACCTGCATGCATTGCATCAGGCTGGGCAGCTCACCCTCATCCTTGTTGACCATCATGTCTTACCCAAGTAAGTAGAAGGAAGCTAAGCTGATATTTGTCATGTGCCATGGGCTGTGATGAGTAACATATAAAGAGAAGAAAGAATGTTTGCTGTCACAGGTCTCACAGGCTAATTGTAGTCACTGGGTGATATCAGGTATAGAAAATCAGCAAGAAATATTGTCGGTCCTCTAGTTACACAAGTAATAAAAAGAAATAGAAACACAGAGTTCAAACTAAAGGATAACTCAGAAATAACTTAAATCTACCTTTGGCATCATTATTTTAAGGTTTCGTGGCAGATTTATTGTAATAGAAACCTTTGAATAGTGGTTGCAACTGTATTTGTAGCTTTTAAAAAGTTAGCAAAATTATTTGCTACATAAACCAGTATTTCATTAGTACCTGTTTAACAAATGCACACCTATAATAATTCCATCCCTAATTTAGGACTGGAAAAAACTGCCAGCAAAGCAATGTGAATACGAAATCTTCCTAGATCTGCCTGGCTCCTGCTAATACTAATGTGTATATTTTTCCCTTGAGCACACTGGTTATAGTAGGACAGCCGAAGGGCACTAATCCATCTATTCACTCAGTCATTAATAAACTTCTGTTTAGAGGATGAAGGTAATATGAGTCTCTGTTTTCAGGAAGCTGTCAGTCAGGAAGAGGGAACTAGGCAAACAGGTCATTGTAATGGGTGTTAGAGGTAAGTGTTAACTGTCACTCTAGGGACAGCAGGTGCATGAAAGATGAGGTAGTTAAATATACTAGAGGGGAGGAAAAATCGTGCTCTACACTGGGATGTGACACAACATTGTAAAATGACTATAACTCAATAAAAAAATGTTTAAAAAAATATATATACTAGAGGGGAGTAGGGGGTATCAGGAAAGGTTTCCTAACAGTGTTGACACTGATCTCAGTCCCGAAAGAAGACTAGGTATTTGCTTGGTGGATGGGGAGGTAAGGTAATTAGGAAAAGCATCCAGGCAGAGCTGATAATATAAGCAAATGCAGGCAGGCCTGAAATAGCATGGTGAGTTGGGGGAACTGGGATTTGATTTGCATGACCGGAGCCCAAAATATGAGGAAGAAGGACGACATAGAGAAAGACAAGACTGGAGAGGTAGTCAGGGGGCTACATCATGGAGATCTTGTAGGCCCTGCCAAGGAGATTAGACTTCATTTTAGGGCAGTGGGGAACTATTGTTAATTCCATTTATTCCAGGTCCTAGCAGAATCAAATTTGCATTTTTCAAATGGTCATTCAGGTAGCGTATGAAGGACAGCTTAGGAGAGCCCTGGAAACAGGTATTTGGTTAAGTATCTATTGGAATAATTCAGATGAGAGAGAGTTCAGAGAGAGAGGGCCTAGAATAAGGCAGTAGCAGAAAGTTGGAAAGGAGGGAATGAATGGGAATTGAAATAGAAGCCACAGGATCTGGCGATCTGCATGGAATTTGGATATTAAGTGAACTGAGGGAACAGGAAAGATTTAGATGCTGGGTGTCCAGGGTGTCAATTGAAGAGTCAACCCTAAAGGATATTAGATTATGTGGGTGAGATATTGGTAGCAGATGCTTCATCAAATTCACTTATACACTCTTTAAAGATGACTTCAGTTGTAATATTTAAGAAAGAGTTGAGAGGAGCGAGGCAGAGGTAGAAGTGAGCAAGGGTCTGTTTGCCTAAGATGTCTGTATTTGCTTCACGAGCGAGGTAGAGATTGACTGAAGCAGCCGGAGCGCCCCTACCCATCTTTCTTTCTTCCCCCCCACACCCCCCTTCTCCACACAGAAGTGATGCGGCCCTGGAGGAGGCAGTGGCAGAGGTGCTAGACCATCGGCCCATCGATCAGAAGCACTGCCCTCCCTGCCATGTTTCAGTTGAACTGGTGGGGTCCTGCGCTACCCTGGTGACGGAGAGAATCCTGCAGGGGGCACCAGAGATCTTGGACAGGCAAACTGCAGCCCTTCTGCATGGTGAGGGCGGCTTGGGGGTTGGGGACCTGTAGTTTCTCTATTCCCATCCCAGAGAAGGGAGAGTGGAGAAGTCTAGACTCTTCCAGCCTGACCATACCCTCTCAAAGCCATTTAGTCCATAACAAAAGATGGCATTCTTTCAGGGCAGTTAGGCATCAAAAGGCTGTAGGAGGCTTTGTCGATTAAAGGCCTGCAGGATACTTTGTCAGAGAAAGCAGAAAGGAAGCCCAGAACAGCAGGCCTAGAAGCTGCCTATTAAGAAGCAGGAAATGGCGGGGGAGGGTGTAGCTCAAGTGGTAGAGCGCATGCTTAGCACGAGGTCTTGGGTTCAATCCCCAGCACCTCCTCCAAAAATAAATACATAAGTAAGCCTAAGTACCTCCCCCCACTCCTCCTCCCGCCAAATAGAAGCAACAGCAGCAGCAGCAGCAGCAGCAGGAAGTGAATTCTAACACCGTTTCTGCCCAGGAGCTAGTTATGTGACCTTGAGCAAATCTCTTAACCTTTCTTGTTCTTATTTCTCCATTGTTAAAAAAAGGAAGAGAGAGAGAGAGAATTGGCCTTGAACTCGGCTATCTCTTCCAGCTAGAATTTGGCCTACAGAAGAGAGGTCATCTCCCTCTGACTAGGTTCCAAAATCTCTAAGGATTGAGGAGCTCACACTTCCTTTCTGCCTTTTCCCCATTTCCCTGCCTGCATTTTAGTTTGGATTTGGGATATCTTGCTCAGGACGTCATCCCAGTTTCTTGTTTTGTTTTCAGTGAGTTGCCCTACAGTCTCCTCTGTATTAGGTTAGAGGGTATGTGCATCCTAGTGGTCAGGAATGGAGGGCCACAGGATTTGAGTTCTGCCATCTTCCTTCTCTACAGGAACAATCATCCTGGACTGTGTCAACATGGACCTTAAAGTTGGAAAGGCAACCCTAAAGGACATCGAATATGTGGAGAAACTGGAGGCCCTCTTCCCAGATCTGCCCAGGAGAAATGACATCTTTGATTCTCTGCAAAAGGCAAAGTTTGATGTATCAGGTATGGAGTGTTAAACTGGTGGACAGGAGCCTTGTTCATTCAATACCATCAAAACAATTGCAGGGCACGCATGATGATTTAAACTGTAAACCAGAAAAAACTAAGCAATGTGCAAGCCTGAGCATGCACTAATCAGTCACTCACTAGATTGTTCCATCCTGGCTGTTGGGAGGATGAGAAGGAATATATTGCGTCTCAGAGGTTTCCAGTCTAATTAGAGAATGTAGAGACATAAAATATGCTGAGGAAATACAGGTGAGCCTTGGTGTCTGTGGGGGACTGGTTCCAGGAGCTCCCACAGATACCAAAATCCTCAGACACTCAAGACCCTTACGTAAAATGACGTGGTATGAAGAATACAGTCGGCTCTCCTTATTTAGGGATGTGAAACCCATGGACTCAGAGGGTCAACCGAACTGCATTAGTAGAGTGAGGTCTAGATGACTGGTTAAGGAAGCAGAAGAAACATTTAGGGTGAATATACAAAAGACAAAGGAAGAGAACAAAAGAACTTCCATAATTTTTTACCCAGCTACTGCCTGTTGACATTAAAAAAAAAAATGAAGGGTCCCACATGTACTTTTAGAAAGGTGAAACAACACAGAAAGGAGAAAAATCAGGTGTGAAAGCCTCTCTTCTTCCATTTACCCTTCTCCCCAAAGGCCCTTGCTCTAAAGGTAACTATACCGTGATCCAGTAATTTAAAGTAAATTTCTACTATATAATTACCTCCTGAGTTGTCAGCTCTGTTCATTGCCCCAAAGAGAGGCTGTGTTTTTCCTCTTCCTTGACCTATCTCGGTGTCTGCACCTTCCTGGTCTTAGGACCCTGGGTTCTTTGGGTTCTCTTGTGTGACCCCTAGTCTCACATCTACTTTCTAGGACTGACCACAGAGCAGATGCTGAGAAAAGACCAGAAGACCATCTCTAGACAAGGCACCAAGGTGGCCATTAGTGCAATATATATGGATTTGGAGGTAAGAGCAAGATGTAGATGTGGGTAGAGAGAAAAAACCTTCAGTTTTGTATGTAACCTTGCCCCTCACTCTTGGCTCACCTCCAGAATACATCTTGTACCTGTCTGCTTTTCTCCATCCCTACTGCAACTCCCACAGTCCATCTTCTCTCACTTCACTGTAATAACCCCCTGCCTCCACTTTTGACCCCTACAAATCATTCTCACAGCAGCCAGAGTGAACTCCCTAAGATCATATCGGCCCCTTCCCCTTACTGCCCTTTCATTGCATTTCTGATGAAATCTGAAGGCCTACTGTGGTTTGCAGGGCCTTCCTTGATCAGGCGTTCGTCTTTCTGTCTGACCTAACCTCATTCCAGCCTCATGCCCGTAATCACAATACCGCAGCCATCCTGGTTTTCTTTCTGTTCTTCAGAACCATTAAGCTCACTCCGAACTCAGGGCCTTTGCACTTGCTTTTTCTTTTGCAGAGCTGGCTCCTTCTTATCATTCAGGACTTAGCTCAGGTGTCTCCTCTTTTAAGAGCTTCTTGTGACCACCCTAACTAATGTAATATCCTCTGTGCCCAAAATTTCTAAAAATTATCGTACTTTGTTTTCTTCTTAGCACTTAACACTGAAATAATCATGTTTCATGGTTTCCTTGTTTACTGTCTATAACACTTTGCTAGTTTATCAGCTCCACCAGAGCAGGGACCCTGTTTTTGCTGTATCTCCAGCACCTTTGACAGTGCCTGGCACAGAGTGGATACTCAGTAAATTTTGTCGAATGGGTGAATGACTATAATTTTCATAAAGTATTTTAATACCTGGTTCCATGTCATATTGGTTTAAATCATTCAACAATCTGATCTGAACACATGCTGTCATAGACTGCACAGATTTCTACTAAATAATAATGTAAAGAATACTAAATAATTAAATAAAACAAAATAGCGTGACCTCTTCCCTTGCGACTCATAATCTAGTTTGGGAGCCAAACATAGGAGCACAAAATGTTTGCCAAGTATCATAATCACAGTACAAATTGGCTTGTTAGAAATGCCAAGGATAAAGAAAAGCCCTGATCTTAAGCAGCTGGTGCTATTATTCATTGGAGGAAATACTGCATAAAATTTTGGAGAAGAATATAAATTGACAAAGAATGAAGAACCAAGGATGCAGTGGTCACGTGTCTGCACTTCCTTGTACGCGCCCCTCCTTCTCTTTTAGAATAAAAATACCCACAAGGCAAAGACCTTGCTTGTTTGATTGCAAGAGCAGGAGAGTTTTGCGCATGCCAAGCACATAACACACATTATTATTTTTTAATTCTTAAAACAATCATGTTTGGTACATGTTTTACCCTTGTTTTACAGATGAGGAAACTTAAGTCCACGGATCCTTGATCATATAGCTAATAGGTAATTGAACTGATTTTCAAACCGGTTCTTTCTGAACCCAAAGCCTGTATTTTCCCCATTCTGTATATTGCTTTCCAGCCATAAATAGCACAGAGTAAATACTAGATACCTTTTGTATGGAGTACAGGTCCCAGGTTAACATGCAAAGACACCCTTCATAAGCATTTTCTGTTGCTGGTGATAAGGGGGGGTCCAGCTGCAGCCCTCATCCCTGTCCATTTCTTCTCTTCCAGGTCTTTCTGCAGAGGTCTGGCCTCATCGCAGACCTCCATGCCCTCTGCCAGGCTCACAGCTATGACGCCCTGGTCGCCATGACTATCTTTTTCAACACTCACAATGAGCCAGTGCGGCAGTTGGCTGTTTTCTGTCCCCACGCAGCACTTCGAATGACAGTGAGTCTCTGTCCCCTCTCCAGCCTGAGGGCCCTGCAGAGCTCTGCCTGTACTCACTGCCCTGTGCTGAAAAGGATCTCTCCGTGGTTCTTGTATTTACGTAGGGATTCCTTGATCTATTTCCAGAGTCTCTCCTCTCTGCTTTTTTCCATTCAATATATATATGAGTATCCTTACTCATACTGTTGTTGAGAAAGGGAGATTCCAAAAAGAATTAGAGACATAGTTCCTACTTAGAAGGAATCGAAATTGGGTTAAAAAGACATATTTTAAATCTAGAGTTAAAATTTGATTCTTGGTTTAACCTTTAATTCCTTACCCCTGAAAACTCCTTTTTACCTTATTGCCTTGAAAATTAGAAACACAAGAGAAACCTTTTCTACTGCTTAGCCACGCAAGGATTAAATAATCTATATTTGCAAAGTAGAGAAGTAATTCAGCAGCGGGTTTGTTTTTTCCCCCCCTCATCTTCCATTTGGCCACCTCTCCCACCTCCTCCCCTTTCTTTTCCTCTGTTGGTTACTGGTAAGATCAGGGAAGAATCTAGAAGTGGACTTAAGGCAGTCCAGGGATTCTTTGGGTTTCCTAGCTGAGAGGACTGCTGAAGACTGGTCTGAATATAGCCAGATAATCTTTCGTGTCCATAAAAGGTATGTGCATCCTTTCCCACCTCTCTTTGCCTTTATCTTCTCCTTCAGGAACCAAATGTAATTTCATTCAGTGGAAGGTAGTTTGAACTGCAGTTTTGAAAGGCAGATAGATACGCTTTTCTGTCCCAGATTTGCCACTTACTTGCTCTTTGACCAAAGGCAAGTCGGTTGACTTCTGAGTCTGTAAATGGCAGAATACTACCTACTGATTAGTCTGATATGACCATTAAACATAGTATCATGTGTAAAGTACATTGCTGGGCACAAAGTAGGCTCTCAGTAACCAGGGGCTGTTACTAATCATGTCATGAAGGAAAGGGCGCTTTGGCTGTAAGAAGTGCCTCTACCCACCTTCCCAAATTTCCCCGCCACAGTCCCTCTGAAACTCTGTAGACGTCTGATGCCTCTGCCGTTGCCCAGGCTGCCTCCGTGCTGGGAAACGGGCATCCTCTTCCCACAGCCTGCCCTGCCGCTTCCTTCCTTCCTCCTCTGTTGGGAATAGTATAATATAGTAATTGAGAACACCGGCTCTGGTGACAGACCTGGGTTCAAGTATCAGCTTTGCTCCATTCAGACTTGACCTTTGGCAAGCTACCTTATCTAGCTGAGCCTCAGTATCCCTACCTGTAAATGAGGGTAATAGTAATACCAACTTGTAAGGCAGTTGTAAGGAGCAAATGAGCTAATATTTGTAAATGGCCAGACCTGGCACAATGCCTGGCATACCTGCCACCCTGACTTGATCTATTCATTCCTTCTGTCTCTGTCCTTCCCCTGACCTCAGTATAGATACTCGTTCCATCTCAGCTAAGGGCAGAGTTCAAGTTTTTGAGCACAGGAATACACTTGGAAGCAACACTAGGTTAGGAGCTAGGGGTTCCAGGTTCTGGTTCAGAGTCTCCCATCATCTACATTATCTTGTTCAAGATACTTAATCTCTCTGGATTTTGGTTTAATTATTAATAAAATAAAATATATGATCTCAAAAGTTTCTTCTGTTTCTAAAATACTACGTATATTAGCGGATGTATAAAACAACTCTGGATGACTTAATTGAAAAAACAACTTTGGAGGGGGAGGGTCTCCTCTATAAGAGAAGTGTCTAACTTAGAAGCCTCAGCTCTTTGCTTCACCATCTTATGCACCATCTACCCGTCTTGTCTCTGCTTTAGATCTGTGGAGTCCTGGAACGCTCCCACTCTCCATCCCTGAAGCTGACTCCGGCCCCGAGCATCCACCCTAACCTCCAAGCCTATCTTCAAGGCAACACCCAGGTCTCTCGAAAGAAACTTCTGCCTCTGCTCCAGGAAGCCTTGTCAGCATATTTTGACTCCGTGAAGTTCCCTTCGGGACAGCCTGAGACAGTGGGTGTATCCAGGGAGCAGGCGGACAAGGAATTGGACAGGGCAGGTAACTCCCTGATTTCTGGATTGAGTCAAGATGACGAGGAGCCTCCGCTGCCCCCCACGCCCATGAACAGCTTGGTGGACGAGTGCCCTCTGGATCAGGGGCTGCCTAAATTCTCAGCTGAGGTCATCTTTGAGAAGTGTAGTCAGATCTCGCTGTCAGAATCTACCACTGCCTCCCTGTCCAAGAAATGACTGTTGGGAGGGGAGGGGAAAGTGAGAGAGGTTGCTTGAACCACCCTGAATGCATGTTTTGAGATGTTTCAGCAATTCTGTCTTTATTGTTCCAGGACCTGGTGTACTGTTCTCAAACCTAGGAGGAGAAAGACGTGAAAGAAAGCTGAGCTGGCTTTCTGCCTTTTCCCCACAATCTCTACCGAGCAGACAAATTTTATTATTTAACTTAACTCTTTAAATCCGCACTGGCTCACCTCTATTTCATTTACCAGGGTCGTAATATAGGAACATACACAGTTCCAGAAAAGTAGCACAAAAAGTATGCGTACCCCGAAAGTGCCCGCAGGCAGGCTCTTTAACAGAACCAGTAGTTTCCATTGGAACCAAACATTCATTTTCTCCATGTATTCATTTATTCTCTTATTAACTCAAGTATTTATTGAATATAGTACCTACTTTAGGCTTTGGAAATTCCTTTTCCAGTTTTCAGCCTTTTGCAGATTTCCAGCTCCACTTTCTGCCCCCAGTTAGGTCATGGTGTCTGATTCCCAGATGTCTAAATTTCTGTTCTGAGTTTATTGTAACTTTTTCGGAATTGCTTGGGAGCAGACTGGAGACCTTTATCTTCCGTTCAGGTCATGTGGTGTGGCTCTCAGTTTCTCTGGATCCCTCTGACCCAGAGCCACAGGGACCTTGAAGAGACCTAGAAAGACCCCTGGCTCTTGAGAGTTCAGGAGACACCCGGGAAAGCCTTAAGACCTCACAGGCACTCTTCCCAAAGACAGCAGAACTACAGTGAGCGCCCTGGCTCTGTCCCCTGCCTCAGCGGGTCGGTCGGTTTCTTATCCATCTAATTCTCTTTTTGCTAACAGTACAAGGGAACGTGGAGTTTCATACCGACTGCTGTAAACTGTGTGTGTTGTCAAGACACTCACTCCTCTAGGTCTCATTCCCCCATCTATAAAACTGAGGGTCTGGATTAGATGTTCCCTGATTTCTGAGATCTGCCTCTTGCCACCGTCCTTTCTCGCCTCTGCTTCTGTTTTTATTTTTGTTTTCCCTGGGAATGCTCAGGGTCACTGCATTGTCTGTTTATGTGTGATTGTACCAAGGTACTCAGCCTCATGTAGCATGTACAGGGGTATGATTCATACCATAGTGACCAGCAAAGGGCTCCCTCCCACTGACCTGTTCTGCATGTGTAGAGTCTCCCTTTCTTCTTCAGACCAACCTGTTGCCCCTTTTCCTCCCCCGTAGCTCTATTCCCTGTAAGTTGTTGACAGTTTTGATGAACAGTGGGGTATGTGATGGTTTTGGCATGATGTCTTCATATGAGGGGAACAGTCTGGCTTCACTTTGAGGGGATGATGTTTGTAGTCATTGGAAGGTAAAATAGTGGTGTGATTACTGAACCAAAGGAATTTATGTTTTGTAACTTGGGTACTTTATTTTGCATTTTGTTAAAATATTAAATACTTTTTTCCTGTTTGGAGTCTTATTGTCTCTTTTTACAACTAGGGTCAGGCCTTTCCCCCTGATAATTACTTTAATCTCCTCAAGATTCATTTCCCTTCTTTCTGCTGAACTTAATGTCTTCCTTCTATTGACTCTTTTTGGGAATAAGGAGCAACAATCTTCTATCTCCCCCATCCTCAGTTTTTCCTTTGTTTCTTCTTCCAGAACCCTGCTTATGACATACTTCTGTGTCCTTGATTTTCCTTATGCTCAAGAAGTAGGCCCAAGATAGTCTTAAAATGGTTTCTACCATTGTCTCTCCTTTTGTTTTTTTTTTTTTAAAGCAGATTCCTGAAGGTTTTAAGGAATCTGGAAAATTGCCTTCCTAGACTCACCCAAGACTAGGCACTTTAGAAAATGCACTCTCCTCCCCAAAACCCGCCCCCACATAGGCAGGTTTTTTCTTTTGGGCAAACCTGCTTCTTGGGAAGGGAGGTGGCCAAACCTGTTTGAAGGGGAGGTTACCTCCTTTCCACATCTCCCTCCTCCTTGGAGGCAAGAGCAACAAACAGTTGAGACAGAGAAAAAGCGTTCAGAAGTGTTGGGGAGCTGGGATATTCAGCTCCCCGACAACTCTCAGTGTTTAAAGAAGGAGACAGAGACCCGCGAAGATGGGAACTCTACAAGAGGCAGGAGAAAAGGCATTAGATCCTGGGTGAGTAAGATCTTGGCTAACTTGGTTGGAAACAAGGAGTGAATGGTCTTGGGACTTTCCCACCATCCAGCTCTTACCAAGTCAAATCTCAAGTTCCTAGAGGAGACAAGAGTTAATTTGCAGAGAAGGGATGGGGGTGGTTCTAGGTAGGAAATGCCAGTGTCATATGAGAATTAGGGAACAGGGGATTTCAGGATAGTTCCTACTGCTTTTTTTTTTTCAAGGAAGCTTCCATATTATGCCCCTGTTCTCTGTTTTCTAACAAGCCATCCTCCAGAATGGCCATCAGGAAAGCTGACCCAGAACCAAGTTTATGTCCAGGTTCTTTTTCCCAGCAAATCTCCCTTCCCCCTTACCTTCTTCCCCCACCCCTCCACCCATGCCGTGGTTTCCCCTAACCACTCCCCAGTGTGGTCGAGGAAAGGCAGGCCTGACAAGGTGCCATCTTCCCCAACTTTGTGCAGTGACAGCTGGGCAGGTCTGTTGGGTTCCAGCCAGCTGTAATGTGAAATACCTCTCACCCCCACCGTGCGGGTGGAGCAACTGCCACACAGGTAAAAATAACTAGCTTGACATTCCGTGCTTTCTCCGCTCCTAAACCCAACAGTAGGGGTGACCGGTTTCCAACAAGTGGTGAAGGTGGTAGAAACATCTCAGCGACGAGAGATCTGAGTTCTTTTTAAGGCCTGCTCTCTGTCCTGTTCCTTAATTGTTTTTTTCTTTTTCTTTTCTTTTTTTAATTGAAATATAGTTGATTTACAATGTTGTGTTAGCTTCTGGTATATAGCATAGTGATTCAGTTATACATATATATATTCTTTTTCATATTCTTTGTCATAATAGGTTATTACAAGCTATTGAATACAGTTCCCTGTGCTGTACTGTAGGACCTTGTTGTTTATCTGCTTTGTACATAGTAGTTTGTATCTGCTAAACCCAAACTCCTAATTTATTCCTCTCCCTTTCCCCTTTGGTAACCCCAAGTTTGTTTTCTATATTTTTTTAATCTGTTTCTACTTTGCAAATAAGTTCACTTGTGTTCTTTTGTTTTTTAGATTCTGCATATAAGTGATAACATATGATATTTATCTTTGACTTACTTCACTTAGTATGGTAATCTCTAGGTCCATCCATGTTGCTGCAGATGGCACTATTTTATTCTTTTCTATGGCTGAGTAGTATTCCATTATATATATATATATATATATATATACAAACATACATACATACCATTTCTTCTTTATCCAGTCATCTGTTGATGGACATTTAGA